GTGGATCTCTGTGAGTTTGAGGCCAGGCTGGTCTACATAGTGAGTTCCAGGCCAGCTGGGGCTATAGAGAGATCCTGTCTCAAAAACACCAAAAATAAATAAATAAATAAATAAATAAATAAATAAATAAATAAATAAATAAATAAATCGAACCTGTTTTTATGTGGTCTTACTGAAATAAAAATCCAACCTCAATGAAAATATTAATGGAAATGTTTGAACAATGTGGAAACATTGTAGAGTCGTATGTGTGTTTATGCTCAGAGATGCTTTATGGAATATTTGAAAACTGAAATTAATGATGGCTTGTGTGTTCTTAATGGAAACTTGATTATTGAGTACATTTGATCGTGGACTAAATGTTGAGTAGAATGGAGCAATTCACTTAAAATTTTCCATAGAACACAATCTAATCTTTGAAACACAAGCATGATTACCAGAATGGTTAGAGTGAGCTACAAAATTTTTATTTGTATAGAACATTCTGAAATTGTAAATATTAACATTTAAATTTTGTTAGCACAAGGTAGAACCATTGACTGCATAACTCATCAGTGGCTGGTTCACAAAAGATATTTCATAAAGGTAGCTAACTGCTAACTTGAAGAACAGTGCCCAAATTAGAGATGTGTTAGGGAATGAATTCTATGCACCTTACTTAGAATAACTGTGGAACCTTTACATGCCAAGAACCTGTGAACCCTTTGGGGTCAACTGAAAATGAGTATATTCAAATATGTGTTTAACAACAATTTAAAACTTATGGGGATTGTGTGCCTACTTGTACATGGGTATGTGTCTGTGTCTCTGTGGATGAGTGTAACTTTCAGATTTTAAAAGTAAGATAGTTTTGGCAAATTTGCAGTTGAGCAATGGTGCTGTGAAATACCATAATGATGAGTCACTTCAAAGTGTGGAGAAACATCAGGAAATAGAGGACAGAGGTGCTTGAAAACTCTACCCTTTCGGGAGCTCAGAGTGCCTTTATCAGGTGATTGGGGGGGGGGAACCTTACAAAGATTGAATATCAGATTCTGGAAGTTACCTGTGTCATTAAAACAAGAAGTCTATTTGGAAGAATATTTGGTGGGGTAGGAAAACAGGGAGACTGGAGCAGTAACAAGTGTCTAGTCACCTGATGTTCATTTCATTAAAGCAACACAGGCTAATCAGACAGCTGCATATCAGACTCCATTTCGCTAACTAGTTCAGTACCTGTTCCCCACTGTCCAAAATCAATCACCAAACCCTTTGTCTCTCTCTCTGTCTCTCTCTGTCTCAGTGTCTGTCTCTGTCTCTCTCTCTCTCTCTCTCTCTCTCTCTCTCTCTCTCTCTCTCTCTCAATTATTCTTTTATTTCTTGAGGACCGCATCATATCTCTTCCCTCCATTTTTCCCAAAGTTGATTCACTATCCATTGGGATAAAGTAGAGGGAAGGTGGATGTGGGTGAGTGGGTAGAGAATAAAGGGAAAAAGAAAACATCTCCGTTTGGAATGGAGATCAGAGAAGGGAACGAATGCAAAGGCCTGTTAAAGAGGCTGGGAATCAGCTCAGTGGCAGAGCTTGTCTTACATGTGCAAGACCCTGGGTTTAATCTCCAGTACTGCAAAACAGAGACTGTATTAAGCTAAACAACCAAAGCCAGTTGCAGACACAGCCAAGTCTACTCACAAAGATGGGGCTTTTGCCTGCCTTCTCCTTCTCCTTCCCACCTTTGCCAGCATCCCACTTTTCTGCATTGATGTCGGCTTCACTCCACTCTGGCCAGATGGGGAATTTCCCCTTCTTTTGTTCAGCAGAACTGGATTGTACATTACTGCCAAAAAAGTAGAGATTTGAGAGAGATAGTTAGTCTGAATTAAAATCTGAGATAAAACATTGAAATGATTGTGTGGCATAAATTGAACCATGTTATAGGTAGAGCATGTTGAATACACTTGTCAATCAGAAACCATCAACATATGAGGATTCTAAAGACAGAAATGACCCCAAAGGGTGAGTCTATAAGTAAATGTTGAGCATTAGTCCCTCTTGACCAATATAGAACAGTCAAAACCAGTATTAGGAGGTTATTACCTATTACCATAAGAGGATAAGATAAATATAATTAATCCTCAAGGAAAATTTCTCACAAGAGTAACAGTTTTTAAAATATCACTAAACATAATATTGGTTTTCCCCATATAAGAGTATTAAGTGTTCATTATTTTTAAAGAAATCTGCAAAATATAAATCACTTCCCTTACACAACACACAGTTTACGACCATCCATTCAGACCAATGTACCAATGCACAAGTTGTCTTTTGTCCTTCAGAAATGAAATCACTCTGTGTATTATTTCATTCTGTGAAATGCTCTGTATATTATACGTCTTTTAGTGTATTGCTATGTATGTCCCATGTTCATAAGTTCTTGTCTATAATTTCAATGGCTGCATAATATCCATTTGCTAGTCTATACTTCATTTCATTAAGCCTCCAAAACTTGAAATTTTGAATTCGTGAACTTTGATTTTAAAACTTTTCATTTTTATAAATAAGACTTATGAGTGTCCTTGTTGCTAAATTTTGCACTCATTCTTTTTTTGTTCCTAATTACCAAGGTCTTTTTCTTTCCAAGCCCCTCCCTGCCCATTAGAAGTTGAGGCTCCAAGGGAAAGGGAATCATTGGAAGGGGGACTAGGACTGGAGCCTGGCCATAGGTTGGCTCATAGCCAGTAAGCTAGCCAGCAGTGTCTTTCCTAGACTGTGCTCTTCAGACTTCCCCCAGATACTCCCTGGGATTGTCTGGGGCCTCACACTCCAGAGTGTTGAGTTGGGTATCCAGGATGCTCTCTCCTTTAGTTTCTTTTTGTTATTCCTCCTCACTGGCTGATGGTGCTTATGCTAAAGCCAGGCCTTCTTTCTCAGAACTTAGAATCTGGGGTTGGCTTCTGCAAGGACAGTCTCATGCAGGTTAGTAGGGTTGCATTTTCACCCAAGCCCTCTGCAAATCAAGTCCAGATTCGAGGTAGGTTGTGGCTATGATAGGTGAGATAGAGGAAGATAAATCCCACTTGGGCTTGGCACCATTCTTGTCAAACAAGTCAGATCTTGTGCTCTAGAGACAGCCAAACCCTGCCCAACTGCCAGCCTGTCTCTCCCCAAAGCAACTATGATCCAGTGGGTGTCTGAAGCTAAATGCAGAAGTTCCGACCCCAGTGCTCAAGGGTGGGTCAGCTTCCTCATCCTTTCCTGATGGCAGCCACAAAGTCCACACTTCCTGGTAAGATCTTGCATTTCTGTTGTGCTGGGTTTCAGCAGTCTCTGTCAAGATCTTCTACAACCAGCTCCTTTCTGGCCACAGGCAGAGGTTGGAGAACTCCCTTTCCTCACTGTGCTCAAGACTTTCACTATATGTGTTAAAGAAAAACCTTCCAGTTCCATGACAGAAGACACTCTGGTCTTCAGTTCCTCCTCACTATGGATCTCTTGCTTCCCACACTTTAAAAAAGACAGGGAAGAGGAGGGAGTATGAGGAGGGCTAAGTAATACTACAGACCGTTAGAAAAAGCTATAAGGAAACCTACCATTATGGAAGGTCCTTAAAGTATGTACATGTACATTATAAAAAAGATTAAAAGGGGTTACCCTATGAAAGGAGTACCTTGCCCCTACTACACACCATAGGCTAACAAAATAAAACCTCAGTGCCAGGAATTGACTTCCTCTCCAGAACCTGTTAACCTGGGATCCCATAGACCCTCAAATAATACTGGCTATTGCCCCTGCTCTTGATTACCAAGCAGAACTTGATGATAAGACCCTATTGCTGAAGGCAGTACATACATGAGCCATAGAACAAACAAGGAGAAATCAAACTGGTGCTGACTTCAGAGTCTTATCTCTTCTGGCTAGTTTTCATAGTGTTGGAAAGTGCTAGGCATCCTGCCTGATGAAAAAAAATTAACTATCAACCTTACCCAACTGTGAATCCAGTGAACCATAGCAATTACTTGGCAAGATAGATACGCCCACTGGTACAATAGTGGCACAAATATTGTGTTAGTCACCAACCACTCTTTAATTGGATTTAAGATATTCTTCCTAGCGTGGAGCCCATACCCAACACTGATAATAGTCTTAGGAAGCTGAGTCTAGACAGGTCACAGGATATAGAAGAGAACCTAATACTAGTTTTCTACAAAATAATATTCTTCCTAGAGTGGAGCCCATACCCAACACTGATAATAGTCTTAGGAAGCTGAGTCTAGACAGGTCACAGGATATAGAAGAGAACCTAATACTAGTTTTCTACAAAATAGTTACCATATTAAGCTGACTCTTAATGACTTATTGTTATACCCATAAATCAATACATCTCTCAACTCTCACCAGAAAGTTTCTTCATGTAGTTGTTGGTGACTAACACAGAAATCCACAACTCAGTGTGCAAAGAATGAGTCTGCAGAGTGCTCATCGCTGAACAGGACACATATATCAAACTTCTGCATCCCAAGGCTCGGGTTTTCCAGTCTTGATGCAGGCATTTTTAGGCAGTATGTTTTTAGATCTTACTTGACTACCAAGTTACAAAATAAAGTCTGAGGAGTTATGCATCATCAGAGAATATGCCTAAGTAGCATGTCAGAATATTTAAGAGGCAAAGATGAAAAGAATAAGTTTCAAGGACAAATAGAAATTTTCATACTAGTAACAGAAAAATCAAGGCATAGTAGACAGTACATTGAATCATGTGTATTTTATTAAGCATTGGAACAAGCCTACAGATAAAAAGAAACTGATTATTTTGTATCATAAAAGCCATCATAAAGTTATCTCACTCAGGAAGATTAACATTCTTTAAACCTATTTTTATTTGTTTTATGTTTTGTTTTGTTTTGTTTTTTGACAGGGTCTCTCTTGTCCCCAGCCTGCCTGGAACTCCCTATGTAGACCAGGCTTGCCTTGATCTCACAGATATCCACTTGCCTCTACCTCCCAAGGGCTGGGATTAAAGGTGTGCAGTACTATGACCAAATAAACCTATTTTTTAAAAGGAAGAAATAATCTTTTAAGTAATAAGGGCTCTACTTATAGTTTCTTCTTTTTTTATTATGTTAGGTATAAGTGCATGTTTTAGCTCCTGTTTTCAAGCTCTCAGGATCTATAACTAATCAAACTTCTTTCATTGGAACCCATCAAATGTGTTTCCAACTACAATGAATGTTATTTTAAAAGATTCTCCTTGGGGCTGGAGAGATGGCTCAGCAGTTAAGAACACTGGACATTCTTGCAGAAGACCCAGGTTTGAATCCCAGCACCCACATGGCAGCTAACAACTGTCCATAACTCCAGTTCCAGGGGATCCAACAGCCTCTTCTGTCCTCCATGGGCGTTGCATGACACGGGCACACTTACCTACATGCAGGCAATATACGCATACACATAAAATAAAAATAATAAATAAAATATTAAAAATAAATAAATAAAAATATTCTCCTCAAAGGTATCAAATCAGTCTAACAGATCACTTGTAGTTTTAATCAAGCAGCATAAAATGCTCCAGTGCAGCCTAAGGTCAAATATACTGAGGACTTCAAATACCCTTGTAAAATGCTGCTTTTTAAATTTTCAGCACAGTGTTTATGCCTTTGAAGTCTGCTGGCAGAATTCAGTAGCTGCACAGGATCCTTTAAGTATTCAAAGTACATTGTACCTGTTCTCATCAATTTCCAGAACAAGGTAGTTTTTAAACACAAAAGTAATAAAGGGAGATAATAGGAACTTGTAATATTGGAAAATAAATGTTGCCAAATTTTAGAGAACTCCAACATTCAATACTGAAAACCCAGAGTTATTTATAATTCCTTAATTAATCTACTAATGTATCCAAGTACTAGTAGATGAAGTTATATCCTTAGAATCAGATGTTGTATAGAGATTTTAAAGATAGATGTATTTGATGGAAACATTATTTTTCAAAAAAACTATTAAAAATTTATAATATAAAATCTGGATATTTCATAATGTCCAGAATGAGAGAGAGGGAGAGAGAGAGAGAGAGAGAGAGAGAGAGAGAGAGAGAGAGAGAGAGAGAGAGAGAAAGAGAGAGAGAGAGACAGAGAGAAAAAGGGTGCCAAATAGGAAGGGGGTATAAAGATTATTTTCTGTATGAAATACACAAAAATTCAATAAAAAAAAGATGGGGACCACCACAGATATGACGCCATGGATATATGGATAGTATTTTCCATGTGGCAGAGAATTCATCAGGACCCCAGCACTAAGATTTGAGAGGAGCCAGGAAAATGGAAAGAAACCATGGAGATACAAGGAAAGAAGAGGCTTGGGAGAGAGGAATAGTAGGAGGCAGGTGTTCCCAAGGAGGAAATGGGTAAAACGGGAGAATAACTGGAAGGCGAAGTGGTCAGGTTATACAAGGAACCATGGAGCAGAAAGAGGAAAACGGTGCTCAAGAGAGGGAGGGTCATAAGAGACAGGCTTTATCAAGGGGAAAATTGGGTAAATAGGGGTTTGTTAACTGAAAAGGAAGGAGGAAGGCACAGACGGGGAGGGAGGGAGGAAGGAGGAAGGAGGAAGGGGAGAGAGAAGAGATAAATAATGCTTATTTGGTGTGAAAAACCAGAGGGAGGTGTATTGGTTCAAAAGTCTACTGAAAAATTACACATACACTATCTGTACACGTGTATAGCTAAAGGCTATAAATATGAAACAGTGCCAGAAAGGAGAAACCTCCCTTGGAGTTGCTGGCCAGGGTAGTCCAAGAGACTCTCCAAAGTACACAGGCAATTATCACAGTCCTTGATTGCTTCCCAGAACTTGAAGGTAAGACCCTATTGCTAAAGACAGGACACACTTCAGAAATAGGACTTGGAGCAATGGGGCTGGAACTGACCTGGAACTACCTCGCTGAAGACTAGCTGTCATACTCTAGGAGGACACTAAACAAGTTGCTAGGGGAGAGAATCAACCAGTGATCCAACCCCAGGTTTAAAGCCTAATAACCACAGCAATGACCAGCAGAGCAAACTATATTAGTGTGGTAGTGGCACTTTTACCTTAGGGGTAATTAATAGCTACCTAATTGGACTTAAAGCCAACTCAATGGGAGGGAACTCATGTGTGGCACTGTACACATAACCAAATATGTATAACTGGAGAGGTCACAGATCTTAGAGAAAACCCCAATGCTGTAATATTCCTAGACAAACGTAATTTCTTAGTATGTGCTAAATATGGGTCCTTATACTTAGAGACAAATATGCCAGGCACCACTCATCGAAAAAGTCTCCTTTGCAACAGATGGAGAGTATTACAGAGTTCCACAGCTGGTCACACACAGAGAGTAAGTGTCTGTGAGACACCCAAGTGACACATCTACATTGGAACCTCTACACCTAAGGCTCATGGAACATAGTGGAATAAGGCGTAGAGAGAATACTAATGCATCTCTCAACTCTCATCAGTGAAGCTTCTTCATGCAACAGAAGGTAATGAACACAAAAGACCACAAATGTCGAAAGTGTAGAGAATAAGAGTCTGCAGAATGGGAGTTCCTGGATAGGACTCCTAGGTTAGACTTCAACCACCCAGGGCTCAGGGACAATTGTGGAAGAGGATGGGGAAAGATTATAACAGCCAGGAAGGAAGCACATGACCATATGGAAATAGAGGCCTGCAAGCTCCTGGGACCCTGCTCATATGAACCTACAGCAATGCTGTCAGCATGCACAAGACCCACGCAAAGTCAAGCAGACAAATCCCAGAACTGTAGAAATGGACAGCAGGCCCTAACCTTAGACAAAGAACTACTGGCAGCTCATCACTGCTGGCTGAAGTAGAGCTGATCTTCTTTAAGGGAGTGACTTGACTCATATGCCTTAGCATATATGACAGAATGCATGAAATCCGGTGGGGCTGGGGGCTAGAAGGCAGTATGGATGGGGGAGAAGGTGTAAAGATGATTAAGATTTTTTGTATGAAATACACAAAAATTTAATAAAAACATATATTAAAGAAGATTTGAGAGAAGTCAGGGTATTATAAAACTTTAAAAATATATGTACCCATTGGTTAGAAAGGACTGTTCTTATGTTGAAACTAAGTGTCAGAGGGTCTTTGCTGGTTCACTGGCTATGAGAGGCTATCACCCAAGAGAACATTTTCCAGAGCACTCAAAAAAGCAGCTGCTTACCAAATGATGATGAATTATTTCATCACTGTATCCATTTCCCTCTTCATTTCAGGAGTGGGTACCAACTGCACTTCAGCAATGGGTAGGAACCTGATCATCCTAGAAGGCTACACAAACCCCGTGGCAGAGAATAAATGCACAATTTAAAAATATCTACAAAAGATGAACTAAACTATAGAGCAAAAGAAGCAACTGAAAACTCTGCAGAAGTCAGCATCTCAAAAGAAAGAAATTATACCCAAAGAAAAGGTAACATGGAAAGCTTAAGGCCTCTTCAATGAGTGCATTTAGAATTCTCAGAAAAGATGAAGAAGGGATGGCTACTACCCTGGGATGAGGCTGGTTTGCTGGACAGCTTCACTTGTCAACTTGACATGCCTGGGAAGAGGAAACCTCCATTGGGGAATTTCCTTTATTGGATTGGCCTATGTGCATGTCTGTGCGGTATTTTCTTGATTGTTGAGCTATGAGGAGGGCTCAGCCCATCGTGGGCAGTGCCACTCCTGGGCTGACTGAACACAGGCCAGAGGAGCAAGCCAGTAAGTAGTGCTCCTCCATGGTCTGGGCTTCATTTCCTGTCCCGAGTTGCTGTCTGGCTTCTCTTAAAGATGGACCGTGCCTTGAATGCTATAAGATGAAATGAACCATTTCCTCCTCAAGTTAGCTTTGGCCAGTGTTTTATTATAAAAATAGAAAGTAACAGGGACAATTGGAAAGGCATTAAATAAAACTTTAGGAATGAGTAAAGACGTTTTGAAAAATTTTAATAGTAAGAATTTCAGAAACCAAAATGATTATTATAAAATAGCATAAAGAGTAGATAATCTGCTGCTAGAGAGAACAAAGGACTGTCAGGAGGTAGATGGTAGAAAAGTGAGTATTCACATAGAAAGAGATAGAAAGTGTGACATGGACAAGCAGGTGGATTGAAAGATTCTTAACATATTCGCACTGGGAGTGACATATACAGAACAGGATGATGTACGATAGAGACAGGGAGCGAAAAGGAAGGAGCCTGGGAATTCCAACACTAAGACAATCCTAAACATCATTTCCTGATAGGAATAGTATGTGTTTCCAGACTCACAATACATAATTTTAAATTTTTATTTAATTCCCAAGTCATGTTTGACATATTTTGCCTGTATTTTCTGCAATTCATATTCACCTGTTTTGGTTAAACACCTTTCCTATTTTGGAATTGAGACAGGGTCAAAATTTTCTTTTTATATGATGAAATCCATTCATAAGTTTATTAAAAT